ATATTTAATGAGGAATACTATGTGCCAAGACTGGGTGTCAGGAATAAAGAAGAGAGATGTGATCCCTGCTTGTATGGAGATTAGATGGTAAGGTGCAGTGGGGGAAGAGGGTGCAGAGAACACACGAATAAAGATAAATTCTGATAGAGGTCATCTCATGAAAGCAGTAAGCTTAGCAATGAGATACATAGCACCTGGCAGGGGAGCAAAGCGCACATGTTGTAGATGAGGTGCTTAGGGAAGGCCTCATTAGGTGGTATGATTTACACAGAGACTTGACTGGCCAGAAGATAGCCATGTAAACATCTGTTGGGAGATGATGTCAGGGGCAGGGAACAGCCAAGGCAGACCTGCTATTAGGTTGGAGAAAAGGAAGAAGGCTTGATGACAAGTGTGGTCTTAGTGAGCAGGAGGGGCAGGCTGCTGGGCCTCGCCTTGTAGGAGATGCTTGGTCATGAAAAGGAGCTAGAATTTTGTGTGGATTACACTGGAAAAGCACTGGAAATCTTAAGCAGAAAAACTTTATGATCTGCTTCACATTTTAGAAAGACCACTCTGGCTGTCATAAGATACTGTCTTAAAGCAAGAGTAAGAACATGAAGCCAGGCATGGTGGAACACACCTGTAACCCAGTGCTTAGGAGGCTAAAGCAGGAGGCTCATGAGTTTGAGGCCAGACGGGACTACATAGTAAGACAGTGTCTCAAAAAAAAAAAAAAAGTGGAAGCAAAGAGACCAGTTATGCTATGTAATTGTCCATTCAGCAATAATGGTATCATTAGATTATAGCCACAGAAATTCTGGTTAGACCCATTGTACAGTTAATATGCACTTATAAAAAATTTAAAGATATGCTAGTTAGTTGAAGCTGGGTAGCTTCCTAAGGGTAGGGAGATAGGTAAGTAATAATTCAGTGTTATTCTGTCTAGTTCCTCCCTTTATAGTCCTGCATTTATTATATAAGCAAATTGTTCTAGTACTGAATCACTCATCTTCACTTTAGGTCTTGCATACATAATCTCAGGTGTATGGAGGGCAGGTGAAATAAGGGAACAAGTCAATCATAACAGATATCGAGTGCCTATTCACATACTCACAGGTGAGTTCCTCAGACTGCACTTGTTTCCATTCTTAAATTAAGCCAATGAGTTTAATCACCTATGCCTAGAGGACATATTACACGGGGGAGGAGAAAAAGGAGCGACAGCTTCTAATATGAAGCCACGCAGACATGCAAGAAGAATAAGAGATGAACAGATAAGGGAGGGAAAAAAAGTATAAAAAGCAGGTGTGCAACTCCAAAAGCATTCCTGAAATGAGGTTTTCTTCACAGTTAGTGAAGGCAGAGAAGAGTGAATGCCACTATAGAATGTCCTGCCTATAAAATGGTTAAAACAAAATTAAATCCATTCGCCTTACAAAAGATTAAGCTTTAGGTATATGAAAATGATCTCATGTGGACCCTTATTTCCCCAAGGTGCTCAATAAATGAATCTTTTTGTTGTATTTAATGGTCACGTGCATGCAGTACTATATTTTTCCCCAGCTGATAGAAGCCTATTAAAACATAACATATGCAGAACTTCCACTTCCGGGAAGAGAACATAAATGGCAAAGTTCTACTCTTCCCTACTCCTCCTGCTAAGTACAACTAAAACCCTGACCATTATATGTGAAACAAACATAAGACTACAAAGGGACAAGAGAAAAGAAGATTGACTAGAAGCCTTAGAACCTGAGGAACAGTTCACACAATTGTGAATTTCTCGGGCTTTCTTTTTTTTTACCTCATAAATCCCAGACTTGGAACTAAAGAAGCCAGCTACCAGGAAATAGCAATGAGTATAAAAAAAAAAAATTCCAACTAACCAGATGTGGTGGTACATGTCTGTAAATACCAGCACTGGTGAGGTGAAGGCAGGAGGATCATCAGTTCAAGGCAGGCCTAGGCTGTATAAGCAAAACTCTGTCTCAAAAAACCAAAGGCTGGGTTGTAGCTCAGTGCTAGAACACTTGCCTGGTATGCACAAGGCCCTGGGTTTTATCCCCAGCACTGTGGGGGCTGGGGCATAGGAAGATGGGACTAAAAGCTTATTCTTTCCACCAAAAGGACCAGAAAGAGGCAGCACAGCAACACAGAAAATGTTTAGAAAATACTGTTCCTCTGTGGCCAAACATCACAGAAAACACTGTGATCCACCTCCATACCAGCAGAGGCTGAGTAGGAAGCCTAGACTTCCCCTCCAACAGACTGAAATGAGGTGTTACCAAGACCACCGTGGTGGTCAAAGAAGTGGTGGTGTCAGAGAAGATGAGGATTTTCATCCCCAATAGGGTGATGTGCAGACCATGTGGGGAGCCTGCAGCACCCTCCTGCCCTGCTTATGGAAAAGACAGGAATTTAGCAGCTCCCAATGGTAGTGAGGCTTCTCCCAGGTGGTGCCAGAACTCTTAGCCCTGCCCAGAAGCAAGGGAACAGAGAAATCCAAGTGGGTAACTTGGACTTCTTCCTCCCAGTGGTAACAAAGTAACACCTCCCCATTCCCATGCCAGTGTGGTTTTAGAAAAATACAGCTAAACCAGAAGAATTAAATCAGATCCAAAGTCTAGTAACAGGATACAAAAATATCCAAGTTGCAATTGAAAATCACTCATCATTCAAAAACCTACTTTTACCACCTTTATACACTGGAGTGCCAGAATATCTGCCCAGTGTAATAACACAATAAAAGGAAGCAAGCAGGGATACAGACTGAAAAGGAAGAAATAAAAATATATCCCTGTTAGCAGATAAAATGATTATCTACATAGAAAACCCCAAGGAATCTTAAAAAAAAATAAAAAAGTCCTAGAACTAATATGTAATAGGAAGGTAATAGGTTATATACACACAACCACCTTTCTATATGCCAACAATGACCAATTAAATTAAAAATGAAGAACACTTCACTTACTAACTCTAAGAAGAAGCAATTAGGCATAAATCTAACAAAACACACCAAACTTGTATCCCAGAAACTATAAAATAATAGTGAAAGAAACTAAGAAGACCATCTTCCATGGATTGGAAAACCCAACATAATACAGAAATCAGTCTTTCCCTAGTTGATAGACTAGTTTAATATAATTTCTATCAAAATCCTAGCAAGACTTGTACATGTGGATAAGAATATTCTAAAATGTATATAAAAATACAAAGGAATTAGAATAGCAAAGAAGAATAAAGTATGAAGAATTAGCTTTCCTTATTTAAGATTAATTTTAAAGCCACAATAATTAAAATTATATTATATTGTTGGGGGGGAAAGATATAGTGAAACAGAATAGAGAACCAGAAACAGATCCTCACAAATATGCACAACTGATTTTGACAAAGGTACCCTTTTCAACAAGTGGTGTCAGAGCCATTGGACAGAGGCAACAACTTGACAAAGTCTCACAACTTAACAAAAATTAACACAAAATGTAAAACATTCGGACTTTTAGAAAAAACAGGAAAAAGTCTTCATGGTCTAGATCTAGGTAAATAGCTCTTAGATTTCATGTCAAAAGCATAATTCAGAAGAAGAAAAGTTGATAAATTGGATTTTATTAATATTAAAAACTTAGGTCTATAAAAGACCTGAGACCTTTTGTGAAGATGAAAAGAAAAACTAGTTTGAGAGAAAGCATTTGCACACCACATATCTGACAAAGGATAAGTATCTAGAATGCAAAGAACTCTTAAATTCAATAGTAAATAATCTAATTAGAAAATTCTGAAATAACATGACATTTCACTGAAGAGGGTGTGCGTGTGTGTGTGTGTGTGCGCGCGCATGCACACGTACATCAAATAAGTACATAAGAGATATCTGACGTCATTTTCGATTAGGGAAATGCAACTTAAAACCAAAATGAGATGTCCCTCCCTATACACCTATCAGAATGAACAAAACAAAAACTAGTGACAACACCAAATGCTGACACAGCAGCAGAGAAACTGAATAAATGAAACATTGCTGAAACTGAACAAATGAACCTGCATAAATGAAACGGGCATGGGAAATGGTATTGCCGCTCTGGAAAACAATTCAGCAGTTCCTGAAAAGCCAACTAGTTGCATTTATCCCAGAAATGCCTAAATTCCTAGGCCTTTATGCCAGAAAAAAATGGCAGCTTATGTTCCCATAGAAAGCTGTACCAGAATGTTTATAGCAGATTTATTTGTCAGAATCTAGAAACAACCTGTTCTTCATGCCCACAAACTGGGGCATTTAAACCATGGAATAATGCTCACTGATAAAAAGGCACAAACCATTGAAAAATGCAGCTGTGATACTATATGAGACTTGGAACAATCTCCAGAGAACTCTTTTAAGTGAAAAAGCAAGCCAATCACCAGAGGTTTCATACTGTATGATTCCATTTATATAACACTCTTGAAATTATAAAGTATAGAAATAGAGACCATATTAATGGTGCCAAAGAATTAATGAAGAGTTGGGGACATCATGAGGAATCCTTGTAGTGATGGCAATGTCCATAATTTAACCTTATCAATGTCAATATTAGGACCATGATATTGTACCCTAGTTTTACAAGATGTTTCCATTAGAGGAAACTAGGTAAAAGGGAATATAGGATTTCTCTGTATTGTTTCTTATATCTGCATGTGAATCTATAATTATCTCAAAGTAAAAAGCTTTTAACAATAAGCCTTTAAAATGTAACTTATACGGCTGTTTATTATCTTAGTAATTATACGCGTAAATCACTCTCACTTGTATAGCATGCTATCTTCAGATTCTTCAACCCTTGCTCTTTTTCTGACAACTCTCATAGGCACATAGATGGATAGATGGTTTATGCTGGACAGTTACAATTTTTTCAAGGGAAAGCACCACTTTTCAAGTGGAAAAGGCCTGGGTAGAGCATCTGTTCATTGGTTAGCCTCTGCTTCAAGGGAATGCCGCAACTCCACAGCCACTGTCATAACATCTCGAATTTTCTCATTTTCAGGAAAACCACTGGTGAAAACGTCACGAATGTCTGTGGTCAACACAGAGAAGCCTACTGTCACCGTGGATATAGGAAGCACCGTCAGAACAGTGCAGGGAGTGAATGTGACGATTAACTGCCAAGTTGCAGGTGAGAAATTCATTACTGGGTTCATTCATTTCAGTATTAATAATACCTATTCAGGTTGGGGGATGCAAAAACAAATTTGACACCAATTGTGTTGTCAGGGACTCAGTTTAGCTTTTTTAGAAAAGCTAAACCTGAATCTCAATTATTTGTGAAGTGCTACAGAAATTTAAAGGAGGAAAGGTTAATTCTGGCTTGAATACATGAGGTAAAAGAGGTGTTGGGGTTTTAATGAATATGTTTATTGGACAAGTCCTAATTGTATACATTTATGGGGTACAATGACATATATGGGGTGAGTTGATTAAATCAAGCTAACTAATATATTCATCACTTAATTTACCTATCACTTGAGGTATTTTTGTTCTGCTTTTTAATCTTAGCCTCCATATTGATAGAATGGGAACATGCAAGGATGGGGGCAGAAGTGCTCCAGGTAGACTAAAAGAGTGTAGAAAAAATTCATGGAAGCTGGAAAGTTGGAGGCTGTACAGAGATCAGTGTGAGCTTCAGTCTGGGTGGAGCCCACAATGAAGTGGTATGGAGTACTTAAACTTTAGTTTAGGTTGTAACTACCACAGGAGACCTTGAATGCCTAGCCAAGGAGTTCAGACAAAAACAGACAGTGATTCTAGGAGTAAGGCAGTGATTCCAAACAGTAAGCTGCCCATGATGCATAAAATGAGTTCAAGAAAGGATACTGGGTCAAAGAGGCAAATTAAGAAGCCATCATAGTGGTCCAGAGGAGAAGGAGTTGGCCTAAACTCATGGCAGTGATTGTGTAAAGGTGAGGAGTGAATGAGGATGAGAGAGATGGCAGAGGTAAGACCAGGAGCTCACTCACATCACAAGTGGGCAGGGGTCATCCAAGAAGACAGCCAGTAACAGTGTGCTATGGTTATGTAAGGGACTACCATTTAGAAAAAGATAGATGTAAAGAAGATAAAACTATTATTTTTACAATTTCCTGTGAGTTTGTAATTAGTGCTAAATAAAATGTATCATAAAAGGCAAAAAAAAAAGAAGAAGAAGAAAATGGCCAGAGCTATTAGGAGTAGTTACAAAGGCACAATCCTTTAGTAGGCTGTAGGGGCCAGCAGGCAGCAGGAAGTCACAGGGAAGTGGGGAGTAAGGGACACTGAGGGTGGCAATTATGACTAATTTATAGCACTATGTGATGAAGAAGTGAATGGTTTGTGTGCCAGTGGCAGCAACAGCTTCCTGATTGCTGTTGTCCTTTATAGCCTCCTGTTGCATGTCCACACCCAAACCCAGGTTCCCAGATTATACCGTCTGCAAAGTGGGCAAGCTTTGCGGACATACCCTGCTCTGGGGAGCATATTCATCTTAGTTCTCAACCTCATCATCTGAAGGTCTATAACAACTTGTAATTTGTAATGGCAGAAAACCCATTTAGAAAAAGGAGGAAGATTTCACTCTAGAGCATGCTGTTTTGCAAAGAATAGCCAGGTCTGATTTTCTTTGGAATGTCCTAATAGATTCAGCATACATGAACTATGAATCTATTTTGCAGTTGTGCATTAGCTTCTCTGTTACACTTCCTTTGGCCTATTCATCCAGCCTCCTCAGTGAAGCCTTCTGGAACCAAACCCCTGAAGTTCTGCACTGCTAGACAGGGGGTAAGACAGAAGCTATGACAAGGCTTGCCAGGGTAGGCTACCCCTCTGTGCAGACGCTAACGGTACTAATAGGGCCCTCTCTGCAGAACAGTCACTCCCCACCTGATCACTGTGAGCTCGGGCCTCAGAGATGAAACACTGTCTTGAGGTATGACAAACCATGTGTGTCTCTTCTTGAAGGCAGGGATTGGTAGGGGTAAGAGTGGAGGGATAGGAAGCAAAACAAATGAAATGGCATTTGAAGGACATTGAGAGAACCAGACATAGGTGAGAAAGTATTTACCATGGGGGATATTAAGTGTGACCCACCTTCCATGCCACCTGGACCCTATCCCTCAAGCTTCATCCAGAAACTCACTTGGTAATCTCAGAGGGAGATCTTAGATTGTTATATCCAATTTTTGCCTAACTATGGCATTATAGTTTTTATTTTTGTTTTTACCCATAGAACTATTTGTATTAATTTTGATTAAGACAAATAAAATTTGTATTATTTATTTGTAATAATAATAATTTGTAAATAATATTATACCTGTTTTTAAATAAGACATTTATTCAAAGTGGGTGGGAAAGAGCCTGATTTTAATTACGCAGTGAGTTTTCTGTACAAGGAAATCAACACACCAGCAATACTGCTAAATGTTAAATGGCACACGGAACTACTTTTACTGTCCTGTTGTCAGTGCCTCCTATGGGCCCCTCCTACCACATCTCTAGTCAGAGGCTTAGTGACCTCCTGAGTGACTGGGTACAATTTTCTAAGCCCTACTACCATTACCAGTGGTTGACAATACTTGCCTGAGAGCTAACAACCCAGGCCCTAGTGACTCTATGAGGGCCTGCTTAAACAAGTATTTTGTGTCAAGTTCATTTGTGTTATTCATTGATAATTTTTTGTTGACTATTTAGTCCAGGTGATCAGCTATCTCCTAATTCAAGGATACATAGATAAATAAGATAAAACTTTTGGGAAGCTCATGGTCTGGGAAGGAAAGAAATTATGAAATATATAATTATAATATAATGTAATATATAGATATGGTTATTTTCTTATTATAAAATACTGGAGTATACAGAAACCTTTAGAAAATACAGAAAAATAAAGAAGAGGCCAAAAGGAAGAAAAATAACTTGTTCAAAGTTACTTTTAGACATTTTAGAATAATTCCTCATTACATGTCATCCTGCTTCCTTTCCACTCAATAATAAACATTCATCTGTGTCATGAGCTGGATTTCAGTGAGTATTTAAGTCTATTTTAAGATACTGCATAATTTACCTAGACTGACTCATGTCCTTACATGTTTGAATTGTTAGCAGTTTTTCATTAAACAATTTTTTCCACACTTGTGCTCTCAACTTGTAAAATGAAGCCTCACAAATTCTTCCCAACCCTTAAGCATAAAAAGAATTAAGCAATAGGTATGATGGAATTTTTTTTCTTGAAAAGTGGTTCAATCCATTGTACTTTTCTCATATTTGTTCTCTATTTAATAAGAGTTCAGGAAACTAAGTAGAAGATTAAAAAAAAAGAAGAAGAGAGGAAGGATTGTGAAAAGCATTGAAGCACACTGCATTAAAAAAGTGAAATAGGACCAGTAGTATAAAGAGCAGAGAAGAAAGAGGCATGGGGCTGGGAAGTGGGGTTGGTAGAGGCTAGAGCTTAGCCTAGATTTTGGTACAGTTTAGGTTTGTATTCTAAGCAAGGAATGCTTTTGAAGGACTTACCTGGGGGATAAAATTAGCAGAACTAGTGATACAGACATGATGGTTCAGGAGCAATCTAGTAAGGAGCATATTAGGTTAAACTCTGGTATCAAGGAGGAACCACCCCCGCCAAGAGTGTAATGTCTCCAACACAGCAGAAGTTTACTATTGCTTCCCTTAGGGTCCAAAGAGTTATTCCTGGTCAACTGGAGAGGATTGGCCCCCACAGTGTCTTTGTTATATTAAGAGTGGAGGACAGTTGGGAAGGTTCTGAAAGACCACACCTTAAGCACATATTACTATTTTTCACTTTCCTTGGCTGTGTGGTCACTTAACAACTGTAAGAGATATTGGTAAATGTACCCTCACTGGATACTCAGGACAAAGAAGAAACAGGTTTTATGAATTGCTATCAGTGTCTGCCACAGTCGGTGTGGAGAAGTGTGGAAAGGAGGCTTAGCCATGGTTCTTTAGAGTAACTGCCAATGCTGACAAATTTGAATTTCTTTATCCTTTCTCTTTTCTTGCACCAAGCCACTCTCCCCAACCTAACAAGCTTTGAGAACTTAACGTGTAAAAGTACACCTTTGGATGCCCCACCTCAAGATGCTGACAAGCTGCCATAGTGCAAATGGCCTTCCAAACATAACAAATGGTCCAGTTAGCAAGAATATCCTGTCTGGGATATTAAGGGGAAAAAAAGGCTATTATAGCATCACGCTTCCTGGCAGCTCAGTGGAGATTAAAGGCACTAATCCTTATAAGGGTATTCCATTACAGCCCGTTCTGACTAGACCCATTTATTGATCCTTTCAAGCCACAGGGAGAACACTGTGTTGTTGGTAAGCTATGCCACAAAGGGGAAAAGCAGACATGGGTTCTTTTGCTTCATCTTTTTAGAAACAAATAACACCAGGCAATCCAGAGTATGGGGCCCAGCCATACAACTGATCAACAGCAACATAGCTGCTGACTTTGTTCTGTGGTCAAGGGTATTTTCTACCATTTTGCAGGCGTTTCTCTCTATAGAATGTGCTATTGCATTACAATAGGTGAGAAAACAATAATCTCCACAACCTGACCAACCTTTCCAATAAGAAAGAGCTGACAAAGCCAGAACTATGGATTCTAGAAAACTCCCTCCTGATAACAATCTTTTACTATGACAGCAGAAAGGTTAATTCTGAAAGTGGAAAGTATTTAAGGATTTGACAGTTGAGAAATAGTAACACAGCAATTCAGATTATCTCTGAAGAGGGAGTCTAGTGTCATGGCAGGCTGTGGTATATACTTAAGATGGGAATTCTTGACACCAAAGGTATCTCAGTTTAGATCTCCACCCTGACATTAGTGGAGTACTGAATGGCCAAAGGGTGGGAAATAGGAGGAAACAGGGACTCTGTCCCCATGTAATCACTTGGGGTTACAAACTAATGTGACTTCAATCAAATTTCTTAATCTCTCTGAGCTCCACTTTTCTTATCTATTTAATGAACTTAATGATAGTATCTGTCTCGTGGAATCATTGTGGAAAATAAGTGATTATAGCTCAAAAAAGTTTAGCTTATATCAAACTTTCAGGATATTCTTTTATAGCTCAGTATACTCCCAAAGTCAAGGTGTCCTGAAGGTGAACATTAGGCAAGTATGTCTGAGACATTCCCAAGGGACTCTGTCACATCAAAGGAGTGGTGAAGGTTTCCATAGCATCACTGTCAAATCTCAAGAAAAAAGAAAAATGAGCTCTGGTGTCTCAATTGTCTTCCTCCTTCATTATTCTAAGTTTGTGACATCGGAGCCAGTCATGGGCGGACTGGTTGTCATTCCAAACATCTTTTTACTGTCGTTCTCTGCCTAAAGCCCACAGTTTCAGGCAGGAAGTCCCCACAATGTGGCACTGGCAGTAATCCATTGGCAAATGCATGACACTGGTCTGTGCTCAGGTGAGCCTGAGAGAGGTTTGCTAATAAATAGATCAGAGAGTGATTCCCACATAATTTCTCTTCCCCAGGGACCGTTGTCTCTTCTATGGTTCTAGTTTTATAGAAACTGGAAGTGACTTCCTTCCATACTTTGCAATCATGAGCAATTCTATTTCTCCCATCTACCCCGAGCTCTTACCAGAGGAATACAACCCTTTTGGTGTATATGCAGTCTCGCCCTCTTGAGCAAGTGCAATTGTATGGGAGCATGAGGCGAAGGGTAATACAGGGAAGGGAAGGAGCTTACAACCAATTCTTGGGGAAGTCAAAAGTAGCTCCCAGGTCTATTTCCTCTCTGGCTTCTCTCCTCCCTCCTCCTTTTCCGCCTTCTTTTGTCACTCTGGCTCTCATTTTGTCTCTCTTCTGCATCTCTCTGCCTCTGGCTGCCCTGCAGAAATCCAGGCCCTGAGAAGAAGACACTTGCTGCTAGAATGTCAGTGTTACACACAGAGAAAGCCATGATGGTTGTCTCTGGGAACATGCACCCCAGGTACCAGAGACACAGTCATGGGTGTGTTCACTCCTCTATTCACATAGGTAGCCTCCTTTTGTGATGGAACTACAGCCCCATTGTGTCCAGTTCTTTTGCCTTGCCTGTCTTGTTCTAGAGCAGCCTTTAGTTCCTATTGGAGTCTGGGTGCTTGCTTCCCACAGCTCCCCTGCAATTCAAGGCAAAGAAGATGGATACTTGTAGAAATGGTTTGTAGGACCTCGTTTGCCCCTGGGCTTTGGGGCGAGATGTGATGGGAGGTTTATTTTTTTTCTTCACCTTATTTTCCTGAGGTTTCCTGCTGAATGCGGTGGACTTTTTCTTTTTCCTAATGTAAAATCTGAGCTCAGGGTCCGAAGTCCAAGCTGGCATGGGCAGGCACCATGATGCTCTTGCTCTCCCTAGTGGTGCTCCAATGAAAAATCAGTTTTCGATCCTCCACCTGTATCTCATTTAGAGCTGATGCCAGCTGGCCCCGCTTGTGTACTTCAGCATTGTGTGTCATATCATATCATTCAAGCTGAATTAGTGTATTCTTCTTCCTGCTGTGACAAGGCTGCAGTATCCAAGTCTTCACCCTCTTTCAGTAGCCCTGCCTCCCTTCCTCTAACCAATTTCCAAGACAAATAACAGATACATAAGTAACTCCCTCAAGACTTCGGTATCCACAAAGGTCAGCCATAAAGGAAACATTGCCCTTGCTCCAAGGTAAAAATCCAGCCCTGTCTCAGGAAAAGCACTGGACCAAAGGTCTGGCTTTTCTTGGCCTTGACCCCACTTCCCAGCATTTGGCATTCTAAACGTACCCTACTTATATGCTGGAGAGTTCTATGTGCAAACTCTGTGAGCAGGGTCAGTAGGCTGGGTGACGTAAGGGATGAAGCTCTGCTCCCTGGAAATGTACAAGTCAATGCCCCAGACTTCCAGTCTCCCAGCTCTCTCAGAGCCTGGCCTCCTGGGGAGCCTCTACAAAGACTATCTGGGAAGGCTTGCCCTAGGCTGCAGCCCACTCACCCACAAATGACCCAAAGAGAAATCTCCCAAGTAGTTCAGGCTGTCCCTAAAACACAGAACCTGACTTCTACAGACACACACTCATCCCACATCAGCATACAACCTCCCAGCTCTCTCAGAGACAATAAATGGATTGTGAAGAGGGCAGAATGTTCTCCTTTGGTCCCTTTTTTGTCATGCTATTAATGCCACCATCTTGTGCTCTCTTGCTGTGAGAAGATACATAGGTTTCTGTGTTAGTCACCTTTCTGTCATTGTAACAAAATACTTGAGATAATGAACTCATAAGAAGAAAGGGTTAACTGGGTGCAGTGGCTTGTGCCTGTAATTCCAGCTACTTGGGAGGCAGAGATCAAGACCATAAGTCAAGATCTGTCCAGGGAAAAAGTTCGTGAGACCTTCATCTCAACATATAATCCAGGTATGGCGGTAACACCTGTGATCCCAGCTATGTGGGAGGCATGAGTAGCAGGATCATGGTCTAAGACCAGCCTGGACAAAAACACAAGGCACTATCTGAAAACTAATCAAAGCAAAAAAGGATGTGTGTGGATCAAGTGGTAATGTGTCTGCCTAGCAAGTGTTAGTGCATGCAAGACAGGTGGGGGCGGTATTGTGACTCACAGTTTTGGAGGTTTCAGTTCACAATCATCTGGTCCCGTTCCTTTCAGCCTACCATTGGTGAGGCAGCAGTTGATGGCGGGAGCGTGTGGTAGAGCAAACCTATACATCCCGTGGCCAGGAAGCAAGAGGATGAGGAGGGTTTCAGAGTCCCACAGTCCTATCAAAGGACACATCCTAAAGACGCCTCACTATGCCCTTCTTAAAGGTTCCACCCTCTTCCAAAAGATGCCCTAGGAACCAAGCCTTTAACACATGACCTTTGGGAGACATTCAAGAGCCAAACTATATAGCAGATTCCCAAAATGCAAGCATGTTTTCTACTTAGAGTGCCAACTCTAGTAAGAATCTAGCAGCTTTCATTGATCTAGGTCATATATATATATATATTTTGATGTTTCAAGATTTTAACTTTTTGTTGAAATATGATAGCTATACAGAAAAGTGTACATATCATAAAGATACCAATTGAATATTCCCCACTAAACCATTCCCAGATCAAGAAACAGTATTACCAGTGGCTCAGCCCCTTGTCCCATCTCTGTCACATCCCTCTACTTCATCTCAACTCAGAGGAACCACCGCCCTGAATACTAACAGCAAAGATTAGCATTGATAGTTTTTGTTATCATTTCCAGAAATCATACAGTATGTATTCTTACATCAGCTTTTCTTATTCAATTTCATATTTATCCTATGTAGTGTTAGGGCCTCCATTTTATAGAAAATATGCATTTGTTTTTTATAGTTTTATAATGTTTTCTCCAAAGAACTTGGATATTCTTCTTCTACCTTGGCAAGTGTCCTTTGCCAGCTGCCTCTGTTTCCTCCTTCCTGCCTATCTGTGGAAGTCTTAAAAGGCAAAAGATCTAAAGACAACTGAGAGGTCCAAGCATTATTTAGTTTGGCCAACAAATGGTAGAAGACGCCTAGGCAGATGCTTCCTGCAGAGCAGCCCCAGGGAGCACTGGCCAAGAGGCTGTAAATGTTCTCAGTTCACCTGAATATGTTTAGTTGATGAGTTTATCTTTTTTTTTTTTCCTAGGTGTGCCTGAAGCTGAAGTCAATTGGTTCAGGAATAAAAGCAAACTGGGCTTCTCTCACCATCTGCACGAGGGTTCCTTGCTGCTCACAAATGTATCCTCCTTGGATCAGGGCCTGTATTCCTGCAGAGCAGCCAATCTTCATGGAGAGGTGACTGAAGACACACAGCTCCTGATCCTAGGTAAACACCTCTAAGCCACCACCTTGAGGACTCTACAGGGGTGAATATCTAACCCACCCACTGCATCTCCATTTTTCCCTAATTTATGATACATAAAAGGTAGATTCAGAATCTCTTCTCTTCTCCTGACCTTCAGACCTTCTAACAGAAAACACACAGGCTTTGGGGCCAGGCAAACCTGAGCTCAAAGCCATAGCTCTACCTCTTATAACTGTGTGGCCTTGGGCAAGTTACTTCACCTTGCTAAGTCTTAGATGTTGCAATTCTCTGTGGAGAGCTGCAACATAAGAATTGCCCACACTTCAGGGGCAAGCAGAGGTGTTATAGAAACACAAGTAAAGCAATTATTCTTATTTATTTATTTATTTATCAGTACTAGGATTTGCACTCAGGGCCTCATGCTTCCTAGGCAAGCACTGTACCATTTGAGCCATGCCCTCAACTCTTTTTGTTTTTTAACTTATTTCTCAAGTAGGGTCTCACACTTTTGCCCAGATGGCTCTCGGACCATGATCCTCCTACCACCACCTTCTAAGAAGCTGGGATTACAGGTGTGCACCACTGTGCCTGGCTAGCACAAGTATACTTAACTCCTCCTGTGCTAAGAATTTCATTGGCAAGCAGATGAAAGTATAGATTAATCTCTCCAGAAAAATTCATACGTGTGAAATTTTTCATACAATTCCAGGAAGTTTATAATCTATACATAACATTTCCACATGCATGTCCCAAAATAAGAACTGTTGATTAAAGACTCTAGCATGTTTCCTGGCATAAAATAGCTACTTAGAAATAAGAACATGCCAAGCACCAGTGGCTCACACATGTAATCCTAGCTACTCAGAAGGCAAAGATCAGGAGGATCACAGTTCAAATCCAACCCAGGCAAATAGTGCGCAAGACCCTATCTCGAAAATACCCATCACAAAAATGACTGGTGGAGTAGCTCAAGGTGAAGGCCCTGAGTTCAAGCCCCAGCACTGCAAAAAAAAAAAAAAAGAAAGAAAGAAGAACAATGGCCGGGGCCACCATCCACCAAATAATGTTGCCAGGTTCTGGGCTCAGCCATGTTGCAGGCTATCTGCCTTTTAACCTTTTTTTCCCCACCTTCTGCATTTGTTCCCACTGAGTCTGGAGGTTGATGAGATAGAGTTTAAAAAGCTTTGGGTGGAAAGGACTTACCCTTTAAAAACAAGGCAACTATTAGTGCACGTAGGCTAGCTTTCTCACCAAGAGAAAGCCATCATTCTAAGTAAAAATGTGAGAAATAATAATTGCATGTCACACATACATAGGTAAACATACATTATGAGCTTCCTCAGAGGAAAATAATTCAATTTTATACTTCTACTTTCACACCCAAAGTTGATGATATACCAAAATATAGGTTCTCTAGCCCCTGACCACTCAGATTTCCAAGGCTCACCTGGGCTTTCATCTCACTGGTGGTTACATAAACTTCCAGCCATCATCAGGAAGCCACAGAAAATTGGCTCAGAGAAAGAAGGATGTCATTTGTTTTGTGTTGAGTTTCATGCGGCTGTGCCGTTTGTCTGAAGCCTACAGCCCAGGGACCATTGTCACACACTGAGTTATGGTGCTTACTGATGGCATCTTCCTCCTTAATAACACTCCCTTGTTGTCTCTGCTAACAGAGATGAAAGTCTAAAGATGGTAGCTGCTACTGTGGTATCACCAAGGAAGTGTGTGTGTTCTGTGAGCCAGTTCTCACTGCATTCCGACTCTAATGCAGTGTGACTATGGACATGGTATTCAAAGAGCATGAAGACGTCCCCATGTTAATCAAACTTGATGCAGGACGAGGAGGGGGAAGAATCACTGCTTAAACTCTTAACTTTAGGGTTTTTCTTCATCAAAACTCTGGGTTTCTGAATTAAAGAGTGTTAGTTTTTATAGGTAGTGTATGAACACAGAAGTAATGTTAATCTCAAAAAATATGGTTTAATTTATAAAGCAGGGATTTTGTGTATAAAGCTGAAATTTCATCCCTAGTTCTGTGACTTAACCTGTAGCATGAAGGTTTGAAGTATAATGAAACAGATTTTCATTTATTCACGTAGTCACTGGTGACTATTCATTGAGTGTTACTTGCACGTCTGTGTCAGCTAAACACTAGTAGAATTTTGGGAGAAATATGAGATGACCTCTGCCCTTGGAGAATTTACAGTTTCACTGGAAAGATCAAATATGCATATCATGTACCAAAAATAAAAAATACCATAGAAGCATAAGACGTTAGGAGGAGCTGACTTTTGGCCCAAGGAGAGTGGCTTGCTTTGCAGATGGGACATAGCCTCTCCTTTTGTGCTTTTAGTAAATCTTGAATTTTGAGAGCATATAGTAAGGAGGAGGGGAAGAGAGTAGCCTACCATCATCAATTCCTAAATCCAGAGGACAAAGAGATCTTGGAAAGGAACCCACTTTATAGATGAGGAAACAGGCTTGGTGGGGGTTAGCAACTTGCCCAAGTTAGTGAATGACAGAGCCATAGTTCAGACTAAGGAATCATAAATCTAAGCATGGTGTTTTCCCTGTAGCATATGAAGAAGGTTTTTTTAAAATTGGATTTCATGTACAGATATGTAATCTCAAGTCCATCATTGTTTTCTTTATGTGATGATCTTTGGCAGTCAAAGGCAGAAAGTCAGAAGATAGATTCCTGAGGTAGACTAGGCACCATCATTCTATTTATTTACCATCCCTAACAAGTGCCAAGCACAACTCAAATGGCCATCGATTAAAAGAGCAATACTCCTGCTTCTCATTCCACTCCAAGTGCTCTGCCGAGAAGAGTGGCAGCTGGCCTTTGGTGTGAAAATGACAGTGCTCCAGCAGAGGAAGGGAGAGGAGCAAAGAGATTCTGCTGTTTCTCCAGGAGAGTCTGGGTCATTCTCCCTGGGCTTAGTACGTAGTAGCCTCATTATCTGTCGGTGGATGGTGGAAATGATAAGACACTGTATCTCCCATTTCTGGCACTTACAGCTCTAGTCAACATGACCTCTGGTGACTTCAGCCCTGACTCTTTGTAAGATTTTTGAATGACAAAACATCCCATAATAACCTCTTTTTGTCCTGTTTATCTGGGTCCTACTTGAGCGTAAAAATCTAGACCACAAAGAAAATTAACTCCACAGCTGGATCTTTTTTTTTTTCATAGAAAAATCCCTCATTAAATCCTTTTAAATAAGAAATTCCTGGAGAGTATTTCTTTCCATGCGGGCAATAGTAAAATGTCTCACTCTACATGATGTTATAAGAGCTAACTGAAAAATAACATTAAAACTGTTTATCTCACAGCCTGGCGTATAGGAAATGCTACAGTTGCCTCTTAAAAGAAAAAAAAATCATGTCTTTATAATATGGTTTAATTTATCTACAAAGTTATAAGGATCTAAGAGTGCTATGGTTTACAGTGGTATAAAGTAAGGATCTCCTGAAATTAACATGCCTGGTTCTTAATACTAATCTTATACTTTCAGGCATCAAATAGTAAGTTTGAAATTCCGACTTTTCTTGATAGGTGTATCTTCTCTACAGGAAAAATGATGCTAAGAGTCAAATATAGTGATGCCGGTCTTGCACACACAGGTGAACATGCCCACCACTTCTCTCTCCCCCTTAATATAGCCTGTGTACTTTAGCACCCTGATTCGCTGTCTTTTTGCAGATCCTCCTCAAGTCCCCACACAGTTGGAAGACATCAGGGCCTTGCTCTCAGCCAATGGACCAAACCTTCCTTCAGTGCTGATGTCTCCTCTGGGAACACAGCTGGTCCTGGATCCTGGGAATTCTGCTCTCCTTGGTGAGTCCAACCCTCTGAAACATTGGGCAAAAGTCCAGGGCTGGACAGGATTTATGGATGGGTGACTGCTTGCAGGTGGGAGGGAGGCAGCAGTGGGGGGTGGCCAACAGGAAATCACTAAATTGCCTACAGAATCCAGACTCACCAGTGGAAACTTGGCTGACTTTCCACATGAGGTGTGTGCAGCTCTTAGTCTGGACTCTATAGCTTGTCTGGATTCCAATATGGCCCCTTTCTGAGTCCTTTTGGGCTGATGCCATGGCCCAGATCCTCTCCATCAGGGTGACTCACTGAACTCTGAGAAAGGTACAGCACTGAAGAACCACTCTTGTGTTCCACCCCTTACCATTCCCCAGTGCTCCCAACAATCTCCTTCCACAGAACCAGAGCTATAATCATCTTTCATATACAAAGCTACAATGTCAGCACCCACCCACCCTTCCACCCCCCGCAAAAGCCAGTGATTCTGTATGGGCCAGCCTTCTATAACAGAACTTGAAGGCAGTCCAGACCGACTCATCAAGACAAAACCTCCCCTGTCATTGAGACCTGAGGACTTCACCAAGTAATTGCCTACATGCTAGTACCCTCTAATAGGTAGAGAATTGTGCAATCAATCCAAAATCATGGAGATCCAGGAAGCTTTACACATGACTGCTGAATACAATAAAGGTGAAAGGAAAAAAACCTTATTTCTTCCAAAGGCTTGAGGCATGGGGAGCAGGGTGGGTGTATATGGGGATGAAGAATATATGGGAAATCTCTATACCTTCCTCTTGATTGTGCTGTAAACCTAAGACCTACAACTGATTAAGAAAAAAAAAAAAAGTTTAACCACTCTTATAGACAACACAAGAAGACCAACAAGTAGAGGAAATCTTTATGCTGACTCCATGCTAACCCAAATGTTAATACAGTAGCTAGAATTATTGCCTTAGCTCAGAGTTTAAAGTTTTTCTAGTCTTCTACTCAAGGCCTCTATCCTTCTAGCAAGGAACAAAGGCCAACGGTTTATAGTCACATTGGTGATGAGTTATCACCATGAACAAAAGCCTCATGAGTTTGGAATTTGAGAGCACAAAGATTGCCTTGAATTTTCATTATCATCTGAAATTAGTGAAGAGACCTCAGAGTTTATCAGTATATGGGAAAAGTTTCTGATTTCTCTGTTTGTGGTCAAGGTAAAAGCAAAGACACAGATACTCTGAACAAATAGCCCTATTCTGTTTCCCGTAACTTATAAAAGCTTGGCATTCAGTTTTTCCATATCATGCCAATCAGAATTCATAGAGGTTTCAAATTACATAGTTTCTTTGGCTTACAAATGGTAAACTTATTTCGAATTAAGTGTGTGCCTTGTGAATTTCTTTGCTTTAGACTCATCACTAAAAAAATATCATGACTGTCAATCCTAACTAGCAAGATGTGCACCAGTTGTTTACTGTCAGGTTGAGTAACTCTTTTGGGCCACTCAGGTGCTACTCAACACTTGCTGGAAAAGTTCACTGGCTCCTATTTTTCCATGCTAACTTTACTTTCTTTCTCCTCTATTCTGGAATAATATTTTGTCTCATTTTAGCATGGGCAATAAGAATTTATTGTGCCTTATGCTGCTGCATTCCTCTGCAATTTTATAGTGCATTGTTACCTCAGACTGGTATTTAAATCCAACAGTCAAAAGACACCTCAATATCCCAGTCTACATCCAGACTGCTCCATTTGAATGAGATGGTGGGTCAGTATCCATAAAGTCCCTGAATATAACTGCCTGGGAAAAATGAACTCTAGTTGTGAATGTCAATGTCATACCAGCACTGTAAAGCTAGGGGACATCTACATGGAATTGTGGAGAGGAATTAGGGGATGATGTCAAATATCAGGACACTAAGATGTAGATTATTCCAGACAAGCCAGAGCTTTGGAATGAGTACTGAAGGATGGGGGATGGGGATTCAAATAGGAAAAAAGAGGAGAAATGGGCACTCAAGATAAAAAAGGATGCCATGAGTCCTGAGACAAAAATGCGCAAGATGTGAGCTAGGTATCTGTTCAGAAACAGCTGTATAACACCATTGCTTTAACAGTGATTTGTCCTGATCTGTTAGTTCAGTGGCTCCCAGCTGGACAGGCCCCCATTCCTGCTCCTCTGTGTAAACTTTTCTCACCACAGTGTGTGCTCTGCATGCAAGAAATATGCAGAGAGGCAGTTTATAGAGGGTTAATAAGACCAGATGCTGGTGGCTCACACTTGTAATCCTAGCTACCTGGGAAGATCAGATTGGGAGTGTCATGGTTCCAGGCCAGCCCAGGGAGATATTTGTTGAGACCCCATCTCCAAAATAACCAGAGCAAAATGGGCTAGAGGAGTGGCTTACATGGTAGAGTACCTACTTTGCAAGTGTGAGTCTCCTGCATTTTGAAAAGATTGTCCTTTTTTCACTGAATTGCCTGAACTAAATCTCATTGATATATTTGTGACTTCACACCAATACCACATTTCTACCTAATGCCCTAGGTTTCCAAGTGTGGCTAGTGGGAACTTGCACCATTTTCTTCCATGTGTAAAAACACCAAGCACTGTTAAGCCCAATTCTCTTGCCTAATGCTTTCCTCTGCCTCTGTTTATATGCATGCATTCTGCTGAATATTTGAGGAATCCTCTCCAGATTTCCAAAACTACTTGTTTCATAGCTAAAATTTTATTGTAAGACAGACCTATTCAATCACCAGTGTATCATCTGTAACTGTGTTCATGCCACAGGGGCAGAGTTGGGTATTGCAACAGAGACCATTTGGCCCACAAACTTAAAGTATTTTCTATCAGTTCTGTACAGAAAACGTTTGTCAACCCTGATCTAGTCCTTCCACCTTGCTATCAGAAAAGGTACTTAAGTCTACAATGGTGATCACACATCCTGTTCCCAAGAGTCACATTCCTTTCTGCTGTGTTACTGAGTTAAGCATTCTCCATGAGGGCATAGACTCTGAAAATCCAAAAAGAAAAAGAAGAAGAAGAAAAACCTACAGGAGTAGAGATTGTCCTGGGAAGTCAGGAGAGGAAGAAACTCTGTGTTCTAAAGGCCCTGGATTGTTTTCAGAATTAGATGGACTCAGGTGGCTCCAGCAACACAACCTATAACCACATGTGGCTTGCAAAAAGCAGTCCAGTACCTTTTTCTTGTCTAAATAATTAAGAGTGACTTGTAGAACATACAGTAAGGTTTGGCCAGCCTGCTCTCTTTAATGACACACTCTCCTTTGTGGGTGAGCAAGCTCCAATGCCCCAGTATGAACACTGCTCACAACATCACTGCTGGACCCAGCCCTGTGGAGTGCTGAGTGGCACTATAGCCTTTTCTCACGCTCTGTGATTTCCCAAGACCAGGGAGATGCCAGAAGTCATTCCAACCTGTGTGTGCAGAGTCAAGCCTTCCCATGAAGCAAGGCATTGTGCCTGGCCCTTCTCCCCAGTGGCACTCGTAGGACACCGCCAGCCCACATAGAGCCCCCCAGCAGCACCTCAGATGCAGAGCCTGTATGCATAGCGGCTCTACTTCTCAGCCCCCCTCCAACTCTAGTGAGGCCCAGCAATGAGACCAAGGCCCACAGGCTGCAGTCAGGCAGTGGTGTTTTCGTTTTGGCCCCCGGAAACAGGTGACTTGCACTTTCTCTCTGCTCATTTATTTCTCTGCTGAGAATTGCAGAGCCCAGCTGGCCTGAGATGTCTCCGCTAAGAGCAATGATGTTCTTGCTGATCTGAAATCTCATGCTAAAAATGAAAATTTATTTCATTTTCCAACACGAGATTAAGACTGGGTCACTCCTACAAATAGTATCATAGTGGTGAGGAAACCATGCCTGGAATATACAAGACCAGGGTCTGGAGCCTCAAGGTGGAGCTTAGAGCATTCACGTGTTAAACCCCTCAAAGTAGGAGAGATATAAGAAAACAGTTTGGTAAATGTAACAACTCAGATTTGGAATTCCTAATAAAGGGACAAGACAATGTCTCAAAGATAGGTCCATTTACTCATTTAACAAATATTTGTTAAGTACGTACAATGTTCCAAGCACTGTGCTAGGGCCAGAGATACATAGGCCAAACCTAGCATTTACTCATGTATGCAAGGAAGGTTTAATGAGCACATATTTACTATGCACCAGGTACTGCTCTAGGTACTAAGGATTCAGTAATAAGCAAAAGCAATGATGTACTTATTCATGTAATTCGATTGCTGTGCAGGCCCTTACAACATGGGGGTGCAGTGTAGGGGGAACAGAAGTACAGTGGAAAGCAAGAATTAGGGCTTGTGGCAAAACAACTCCACTGGCCAGAGCTTTGGGCAAGTTTCTCTGAGGGAAAGCTGTTCAGCAAAATCAGTAGAAGTAATCCAGATGAAGAGAAGGGAAGAACACTCCAGGCAGAGGGACCAACCGAGGTTGTGCAGACAGGCATAGAGCATTTGAGGACCTCTACAGTGGGAGCTAAGAGGGACTAGCTATAGGTAAGACTGAAAGCAGTATGAAGCAAATTGGTGGCACTCTGCATGTATTGGTAAGACTTCTGCATTTTGTCTGAAGTTTTTAGGTAGTCTGAAAGCAAGAGAGAAATCTTCTGATTGATATTAAGAGAGATGGGTGATACCTATGTGACAAGGAGGATGCAGGCTGAAATGAGCTGATCAGGTCAGGACACTCTGAGAACATAACCCTTGAGTGATTCACATGTCTACAGGAGGACAAGAGCATCCCAGGCACAGGCTGTACAAGCCCAGTATGTTCCACAAACAGCAAAGAGGCCAGGGTAGCTGGAGTCATTGAGGACATCAGAAGACCAGAAGAGGTAACAAGGCAGAGGGCATATTGTGTAATGCCCTGTAAATGCTCACATTAAAACATCACTGAGAAAAAAAAATCTATAAATGTCCAGATTTATAAACAGACTCAATATTGCATTGAGCATCCTGAGCTTTTCCAGGATTAGGCAAAGGCAGGCAGAA